GCTTGTTTTACCTAAAACGCTTCTTAGAACGTGTTTATTTTAAAGGCAAATTCACTGCTGTTCATGTGTTGCTATGTTTGCTCTTTCATACACGTCTGAATAACGTTTGAAGTGATTTGATTGAAATGCAAACAGTGCTGAGGAAAGTGAGAGAGCTGTGCTGTTCAGATGAGAAGCATACTGAGAAATATGTTGATGCACATATTTCACACAATGAATTATGACTGATGTGAGAACTGCATTAAGAGCAGTGAGAATGACAAACTGTGAGTGGTGTTTAGGGCGGGGCTCTGGAATAACTGTTTGCCACGGTTGCACTGGTGCACCTACATTTTTTTTCTTCGACGCACCGGCACAAAAGTTTGGAGCACTCCGATTTTTCAACCGCACCGCTTCACACCGCAGTTTCACATGTGCACTTTTGGGGGGGAATTGCTAACCATACAGACAATATTCATTTGTAAATGATTAACTAACGATCGTGTGCTTGTGCTTAAAGTGCGTTGGCATTCTGGTAATATTGTAGACAATGTTAAACTTAATCATCACATCGGCCTCTGACGACCTGTTTGCTGCTGCACAGCTGCTGAAAGGCTGTGGGGAGAGGGGACACCTGGGCATTTACTCTTATTATCATGATTCTGATGCGTCGGGTCTGCGCTCTGTGTTTACATATTTGTGTGGAATCTGCTCTCATTTGTATCTGTTGTTGACCACACGGAGACTTTTTGTTTTTTTGTTACTCGAACAGTTGGTCGCACCGGTGCGACCTAAGATTTTTTTTAGTCGCACCATTGAAAATGCGATCAAATTGGCCGCGCTGTAGAGCGCTGGTGTAGGGATCTGCATTTTTAAATGTTGCCTGAAACTGGAATTTTATGCAAATTGGGAATGGTTGAGGAAAAATGTTATTTGGATATATGGAATTTGCTGATTCAAGATGGAATCACTTGGCACTTGTTTAGTGAGCAGAACTGAGCTTCCAGAGCAAATTTACCCACGAGAGTGAGAATCTGCTGGAAGCTCACAGAGCCTGCCCTGCTGCATGTGCAACAGTTTCTCTGTGCTTGGCTGCTGAGTTCTTCACTCGTGTGTTGTTTAATTTGAATTTGAGGAATGAAAAGAAGAATTTCAATGTGGCACTTCCCATGAATGCCTGTACGAACAAAAGGACTTTTACATTGGCTCCCATTTAATTTTAGGATTCAAAACTCTTGTGCCTACATACACACCACTAAATGGACAAGCTACACAAAGACACGTACATAATGTACTGCTGCTAACATGGGACCGGGTGTGTGCTGAACAGGGCGTGGACACAGATGTAGGACTCAACAGACGGATTAAATTCTAAATCCAGGCGTTTAATTTCTCTGCATCTGAGACCACAGTTGCAGGTCCCGACACTCACACAGGGTGTGGACCCAGATGCAGGAGTTGACAGACTTGTTTCAAAATCACAGAGTTTATTGTGTTTATTGTGTTTATTGTGACAAAAAAGGTAATACAACACACAACGAGGGAGGACGTGAAAAAAGAACAGGGGGGGCACACAATATATACACAGGAGGAAATCAGAGCAGAATAAATACGCCTGGGAAGACAGCTGAACAGAATCTACTCGTCGAGATAGGGACACACAGGTGAACACCACACACACAAAGCAGGAAGTAACGTATGCTTCTCATTTTATTTTGATAGACAAGGAGGCTGAGACCAGACAAACACATGTGAGTTTGACGCAGAGACCGGACATAACTGGGACAAAACACAGAGAAATGATTAAGGATAAACACTGTAACCTGGACTAAAGATGTAAGAGCTGACAAGGCAGGAGATGCAGATAACCACGGAGACACAGAGAGACAGGACAGACACGGGGACACAACTGGTAAAGCACAAATAGAGATGAGAGACTAGAACTAGACTAGACAAAAAGTAGAAACCAATATATTCACCAGGAAAGCAGTAATTATAAATATAAAACTACAAGGCTCTGGCAAATGCAGAGCTAGAACATGTACTTCTTAAATATCTATATCAGTATATAGAGACTAAGAGAAGAGATGTGCAGTTATAACAACTTCTACTGTTATAACTGCGCATTACTTCTCTCAGCTTATATATACACTAACTTATTGGAAGTTACATGTCTACTTTTTAATGCACAGATACAACACACAATCTGCACTTTTCCAGTTATTCTAAATATTCTTAACTATTTAAACATCTTTCAGTATTCTGCTCTGATTGCACACTACAACCTGGGTTTGCCACTTATCTGTACTCTAATTTTAATAACTGTACAGTACTCTGATTTGGTAACTATTGTCCATGATGTAAATATGTAAAAATTGTGTTTCTGTGTGTATTTGTGGGGGTTTTGCTGCTGTTATGACCAAATTTCCTCTTGTGGGACAATTAAAGGATTTTTCTGTTCTAAATGTAAATCATAAGTCCAAAGGCAAAACTCATGACTCAGAATACTGGGTCAAAGTCCCAGGACCATGACAGCTCCAGGCTCAGAAGTTGTTAGTTGTTCCTTGTTTGAGCTCAAAGACCTTTCAGTCTGGAGCAGTTGGTGGATCAGCTCCCAGGTTCTACAGTCCTTGTGTCAAATTCAATTCAGTTCAATTCAATTTTATTCAATTCAATTTCATTTATATAGGACCAAATCACAACAACAATTGCCTCAAGGCACTTTATTTTGTACAGTATATCCTATAATAATAGATACAGAGAAAAACCCAACAATCAACAAACTCCCTAAAAGTAAGCACTTTGGCGAACCAGGCTCAGGGAGGGGCGGGGCCATCTGCTGCGACCGGTTGGGGTGAGAGAAGGTAGACAGGATAAAGACATGCTGTGGAAGAGAGACAGAGGTTAATAACAAGGATGATTCAGTGCAGAGAGGTCTGTTAACACATAGGGATGATCTGATATCGTCGTGTTGGTGTTGTTCCCACATCATCATGAAAATGTTGTTCCAGGTTCAACATTGCAAGTGACCAATCACATTGTTGTGACGTTATTCTTTTGCGCGCCAAGCCATTCGTGCATTTATGAAATTCCAATGTTGCAAGGACAATATCAATTCTGCTTACGTTTATTAAAGGGTCAGGGTCCGTTGATCGGCGGACAGAGGCGGTTTCTCGCAGCTTAAGTACAGTTTTTTGTTTTACGGGTTTTTCCCGAAGTCGCAAAAGTATGACGTCACAACATTCTGATTGGTCCACTTGCAATGTTGATCCTGGACAACATTTAGTATGATGATCTGGGAACAACACCAACACGAGATATCAGATCGTGCTAACATCATTCATTGATGCGACCAGGATCCCTGGGCAGTCATGGACCTGTGTATTATTATTATGTATTTTTGGTGTCGTTTCCCCTTCTCTGTGTGTGTACATATGTGTTTCTCTGTGCTGTGTTAGTCTGTGTCCCACTCATATGTTCAGGCGAGGTATGGGTGTGTATGTCTGCGGGTGTGCCTGGAGGATGGAGCTCGGCCACCTGCAGGCCTGAGGGGTGTGGCCCTGCGGAGGGACTGGCCACACCCGAAGCCACACACCTGCCGCTGATCAGGGCTCGTCGGGGGAGCTACTTAGGAGAGTCTTGGAGCTCCCACCGACGCGGGATCATTGAGTTATCGTACCAAGTCAGTGTGTGTTAGCGTAGGTCTGTGCTGTGCGTATATGCCCGCCGAGGGTTAGTGTTGACGGCTGTGTCTCTGGTTTCCCTACAGGAGGAGGAGTGTCTGGAGAGGCAGCACGCACAGGGGTGCGGAAACACAACAGCGGGGAGCACGAGCACAGATATCGGAGGGAAGCACGCACACGGGGTTCGAGGGAGCAACGGGGAGTTATTGTATTTACAGCCTTTTCACTGTAAATAAAGAGCACTGTTTGCATCGCAGAGTCTGCGTTTTGGGTCCTCCTTTCCCCACATCCCCACGGTCTGCCAGCCAGCCCGTGACAGAATGATCCCGCCAAACACCATGGACCCAGCAAACTCAGGAGTTGCCACGGAGGAGAGATCGCTCGCGCAGCTATGGGATTACTGCCGGGGCGTAATCCAGGCTGTAGACCCACACAAGAGACATGTACAGGTGGTGTTCTTTGACAATTATCTCTCATCCCTACCTTCACCATGAACTGTTTGGACATTAACAACCTTAAGCTATTGGTCACTATTTTACGAGAGAGCTCTAGTTTTGAATTATTCGGCTTGGGCAGTCCGAGCAAGGAAGGTTCGGCTGCTCACCTAGAGGCTCTAGCCGCTTGGTTTTTCGCGCATCGGCGGAGGGCTTTCCCGTCGATGCTTGCGGCACAATTGTTTGATCCTCCATTACAGAAGGGATGTCGCACTTGCCATCATCACCCCATTACACCTCAACCCACTCCTGCGGTTTCAGTCCGGTCAGCTGGCAACGGACCAACAGCGCCCATCACCGCAGTGAGTAAACCCGACTCATTTGTTTCTATTAATCCTGTCATTGAAAATCAAAACACAGATGAACAGCAGAGGACTGTTTCCGTACACCCGGCCCCGCCTTCACGGAGGAGAAGGCGTCCTCGCAAGCAGCGTTCAGCCACCTCTACACTCACTCCTGTGCTGGTCGAAGGCTCAGGACCAGCGGCTCTGGACGCCACAGTGAGTAAAATGGACTCTGCCGGTGTCGTAAATTCCCTTCCTGTGAACATGGACATAGAGACTATAGCCACTACGGCAATTAACATGGAGAAACTGTAAGAGGTGTAACTGAACTCCCAGTGGGGATTTTTGGACCACCGACGGACGAAGGTGGTCTGAGTGCTAATACTGGGGCAGAATTTTGCATAGACAGCCCTGAGGTAGTTAGCTCAGAGTCGGTGGGGTCAGAAACTGTTTGCTTTACCTCCAAAGACTCAGAAGATGTTCACTCTGAGACTGTGAGCTGGGAGCTAGGGAGTTCACAGCATACAGACCCAGATGACTTTTTGGCTCAGTCTGGCCATATGGAGACAGAGGTTCTCCCCAGGGCTTCCCCAGAGGCCAAACTGGAGGCCTCAGTTGCCTCTGGACCCCTGGAATTTGTTGAGCCAGCTGTAACATTCTCATCCTCTCCACCCTTCATAATAGCCATATCACCCTCAACTCAGTCCGCTGCCCAGCTAGTAACGGAGTCTGCTGCCCAGCTGGTGACTGAGTCTTCAGTCCGGTCAGCCTCTCACCTTCGTCCTCAGTTGGAGGTCGATATGCCTGCTGGACCACCTCTGCCATCATTTCACCCGTCTGTCCCTGCATCGCTGTCCAGTCCACCGGGAGCAGCTGCCGCACCATCATCACCTTCTCCCTCTGCAGCTACTTCTCCACCAGAGTCCCATCAGACTGCAGCGACCGCAGCACTCTCGGCTTCGCCATCTGCATCACCTACTCTACCTTCACCTTCCCCACCTGCAGACAACGCATCACCATCTTCACCTCCAGATCGACCGTCAGTAGCTGTAGCGCAGCCGGAGGTGCTCAGGGTGCTCGGAGAGCGGGAGGAGCCCGCACCGCCAGCTGTGGAGCCCTGCGAGCCGGAGCAGGAGCCCGGCGAGCCGGAGAAGCGGCTCAGCGTGGCGGAGCAGGAGCCCAGCGAGCGGGAGGAGCTCGATCTGCCCGAGCCGGAGCTCAGCGAGCGGGAGCCGGAGCTCAGCGAGCGGGAGCCGGAGCTCAGCGAGCGGGAGCCGGAGCTCAGCGAGCGGGAGCCGGAGCTCAGCGAGCGGGAGCCGGAGCTCAGCGAGCGGCAGCCGAAGCTCAGCGAGCGGGAGCCGGAGCTCGCTCTGCCCGAGCCGGAGCTCAGCGGGCGGGAGCAGCTCAGCGAGCCGGAGCAGCTTAGCGAACCACCAGCAGAGGAGCTCGGCGAGCGGAAGGAACAACCGGCGCTGCCAGCCGAGGAGGAGCTCGGCGAGCCGGTGGAGCTCTCGCTGTCAGCCGCCGAGGTGGAGCTCTCGCTGTCAGCAGCCGAGGTGGAGCTCTCGCTGCCAGCAGCCGAGGAGGAGCTCTCGCTGCCAGCAGCCGAGGAGGAGCTCTCGCTGCCAGCAGCCGAGGAGGAGCTCTCGCTGCCAGCAGCCGAGGAGGAGCTCTCGCTGCCAGCAGCCGAGGAGGAGCTCTCGCTGCCAGCAGAGGAGCTCAGCGAGCCTGGTGAGCCCGCGCTGCCACCGGAGGAGCTTGGAGGTCCGGAGGGATCCGCTGAGCCAGAGCTGGAGGTCTGCATGCCGGAGGGGCCGCCACGTCCTGCAGCCCGGCCGCCACGTCCTGCAGCCCGGCCGCCACGTCCTGCAGCCCGGCCGCCACGTCCTGCAGCCCGGCCGCCACGTCCTGCAGCCCGGCCGCCACGTCCTGCAGCCCGGCCGCCACGTCCTGCAGCCCGGCCGCCACGTCCTGCAGCCCGGCCGCCACGTCCTGCAGCCCGGCCGCCACGTCCTGCAGCCCGGCCGCTACGCCCTGCAGCCCGGCCGCTACATCGGGAATCGTGGGTGGTGCTGAGGCGGGAGCAGCAACGCCGCCGCCACCGGACCCGTGGCCGCCCGCCGGAGCAGCAACGCCGCCGCCACCGGACCCGTGGCCGCCCGCCGGAGCAGCAACGCCACCGGACCCGTGGCCGCCCGCCGGAGCAGCAACGCCGCCGCCACCGGACCCGTGGCAGGCCGCCGGAGGAGCAGCGCCGCCGCTACTGGGCCCGGAGCTCGCCACCGGAGGGGCAGCAGTGCCGCCGCCACTGGAGCAGTGGCAGGCCCCCAGAACCGTTTTTCTGCTGTTGCCGGACCCGTGGCCGTCCGCCGGAGCTGCAATGTCGCCACCATTGGACTCGAGGTAGGCCCCCTGAACTCTTTTGTTATGTTGATGGGCCGCCTGAGACTGTTGTGTGGTGTTTTTTCTTTTTGTTGCTCCGCTGCGGGATGCGCGGTCGGACTCTGGGACTGTGACCTTGGGGGGGTTGTTTTCTTTGGTGGTTTTTGCTTGTTTTGGTTCTGCCCTCCGTCCTGGACCTCCCGCCGCCCGCCCTGGGTTGGTTGTACTGTTTTTGGTTTGTTTTTGGGTCGTCGGGTGCCGACCCTTTGAGGGGGGGTACTGTCAGGGTCCTGGGACTGGGCGACCCAGGATCCCTGGGCAGTCATGGACCTGTGTATTATTATTATGTATTTTTGGTGTCGTTTCCCCTTCTCTGTGTGTGTACATATGTGTTTCTCTGTGCTGTGTTAGTCTGTGTCCCACTCATATGTTCAGGCGAGGTATGGGTGTGTATGTCTGCGGGTGTGCCTGGAGGATGGAGCTCGGCCACCTGCAGGCCTGAGGGGTGTGGCCCTGCGGAGGGACTGGCCACACCCGAAGCCACACACCTGCCGCTGATCAGGGCTCGTCGGGGGAGCTACTTAGGAGAGTCTTGGAGCTCCCACCGACGCGGGATCATTGAGTTATCTTACCAAGTCAGTGTGTGTTAGCGTAGGTCTGTGCTGTGCGTATATGCCCGCCGAGGGTTAGTGTTGACGGCTGTGTCTCTGGTTTCCCTACAGGAGGAGGAGTGTCTGGAGAGGCAGCACGCACAGGGGTGCGGAAACACAACAGCGGGGAGCACGAGCACAGATATCGGAGGGAAGCACGCACACGGGGTTCGAGGGAGCAACGGGGAGTTATTGTATTTACAGCCTTTTCACTGTAAATAAAGAGCACTGTTTGCATCGCAGAGTCTGCGTTTTGGGTCCTCCTTTCCCCACATCCCCACGGTCTGCCAGCCAGCGTGACACACATAGTGAGTGAAGAAGAAACACTCAGTGCATCATGGGAATCCCCGGCAGCCTACGTCTATTGCAGCATAACTAAGGGAGGATTCAGGGTCACCTGGTCCAGCCCTAACTATATGCTTTAGCAAAAAGGAAAGTTTGAAGCCTAATCTTGAAAGTAGAGATAGTGTCTGTCTCCTGAATCCAAACTGGAAGCTGGTTCCACAGAAGAGGGGCCTGAAAACTGAAGGCTCTGCCTCCCATTCTACTTTTAAATACTCTAGGAACAACAAGTAGGCCTGCAGAGCGAGAGCGAAGTGCTCTAATAGGGTGATATGGTACTACAAGGTCATTAAGATAAGATGGGGCCTGATTATTTAAGACCTTGTATGTGAGGAGCAGGATTTTGAATTCTGGATTTAACAGGAAGCCAAAACAGGAGAAATCTGCTCTCTCTTTCTAGTCCCTGTCAGGACTCTTGCTGCAGCATTTTGGATCAGCTGAAGGCTTTTCAGGGAGTTTTTAGGACTTCCTGATAATAATGAATTACAGTCGTCCAGCCTGGAAGTAATAAATGCATGAACTAGTTTTTCAGCGTCACTCTGAGACAGGATATTTCTAACTTTAGAGATGTTGCAAATGGAAGAACGCAGTCTTACATATTTGTTTAATATGTGCGTTGAAGGACATGTCCTGGTCAAAAATGACTCCAAGGTTCCTCACAGCGTTACTGGAGGCCAAGGTAATGCCATCCAGAGTAAGAATCTGGTTAGATACCATATTTCTAAGATTTTCAGGGCCGAGTACAATAACCTCAGTTTGATCTGAATTAAGAAGCAGAAAGTTAGCGGCCATCCAGGTCTTTATGTCTTTAAGACATTCCTGCAGTTTAACTAATTGGTGTGTGTTATCTGGCTTCATGGACAGATAGAGCTGGGTGTCATCTGCATAGCAGTGTAAATGTATGCTATGTCTTCTAATGATGCTGCCTAAGGGAAGCATGTATAATGTAAACAGAATTGGTCCTAGCACTGAACCCTGTGGAACTCCATAATTAACCTCAGTGTGTGAAGAGGACTCTCCATTTACATGCACAAACTGGAGTCTATTAGATAGATATGATACAAACCACTGCAGCGCAGTACCTGTAATACCTACAGCATGTTCTAATCGCTCTAATAGGATATTATGGTCGACAGTATCGAACGCTGCACTGAGGTCTAGCAGGACAAGCACAGAGATGAGTCCACTGTCAGAGGCCATAAGAAGATCATTTGTAACCTTCACTAAAGCTGTTTCTGTGCTGTGATGAGCTCTGAAACCTGACTGAAACTCTTCAAATAAACCTCCTGCAGATGATCTGTTAGCTGTTTGACAACTACTCTTTCAAGGATTTTTGATATGAAAGGAAGGTTGGAGATTGGCCTATAATTAGCTAAGACTGCTGGGTCTAGAGATGCTTTTTGAGTAAAGGTTTAACTACAGCCAGCTTGAAGGCCTGTACCACAGGCTGAAGGCCTCTCATCCAAGACACTTCATAAGTTCTAAAACCAAATGGTGGAGGATCAAATGTTTATTTATCCAAATATATCAAAAAGCCAAATACTACTATTTTTTTATAAACATTGTGGGAAATTTGGTAAATCTTTTTGTATATCAGGATGTGATATGGAAAGTGTCGTGTTGGAAGTATTTATACTGCGTGACTGTTAAATGTTTGCTCTGTGCAGTCTTTGTGGCAACCGTAGCCAAACATTTTCTGTTAATCCAAAGTAACCTTGGTACACGCCTGTCTTATGACCGCTGCCCTACATTTCAAAATTGACATATTCATTGAGATGTCTCTTGTTTCTCTGTCCAGAGTGCATTTGGAGAGTGGACAATATGACACTGCCATGCCTTCAACACTGCGCACTTCTGAATATGGCAGCGCTGTGTTCTCTAAGACTGCTGGCGCAGCGCGCGGATGTGTTGGAGTCGTCACCTACGATCTTTACAATGAATCTACAAAGCGAGCTGATAAGAAAATTGCTGGCATGTTCTCTGTTCCTTTCGATTATAACCTGTACTACATCTGGCATGGAATCGGAGTCTTTCCCATCAACACACAATGTAATTCTTGTCTGTTTAACATTATGAAAAACAATGAACAGCGAGGGTTTGTCAGAGGAAGAGCTGAGGGTCCCACTCTTACTTACAGAGATAATGATGTTACCCTTACTTCCGCCATCTCAAACTGTAGTCGAGCGACTATGACAGTGGAAGTGCGCAACCGATAGTAGACAGTCTAATAATGGAGAAAACAGAGTGACGGGTTTTTATTTTGTTCTTTGGTATAACCTTCAGACGATCTTTTGTTTTTAGTGGTTTATCAAGACAAAGAACATCAAAGTGGAAATTAAAATGCATCGACATTAAAACAAGGAGGTCAGTGATATAGAAGCTCACTCAGCACAATACGTCAGAATTCACAACTTATTGTCCAAAAAGTGACAAATATAACTCTGAGCACAGTTTGAGTGAAGACCTATTAGATGAGCATTGTATGTAAGTTTGATTCTATTCAAACCAATAGTGTGGGAGAAGAAGCAGGTCTGGGGTAATCGTGAAACAGAAAACAATCATCAACAATGAAGGAAATTTGGATCTTCTGTATTGTGGAAGTCTGTTCCACAGTTTGGGCCTGACATTAACTGCTAAACAGTGAAGAGGAGTTCAAACAGGAATTTGGGAAAGAGTATTTTAAATTATTCCTATGATTCAATTGTTTCATGCAGAAATAAACTCACACTTTTGTTCTATTAGAAAAAACAACTAAAACTATGTGATGGTTTGTCTGCAGATCACTGAATATGAACAATAAAGATATCTGACGTTACTATCCCTCAGCCACTCCTGTGCTTCATTAACTGATCATGATGGCATTTCATTATTACTGGGTTGAATATTCAACCAAATAATATATTTGTTTAAATGTCTGTAGATAAAAGAAAAAACTGTGTCTTCAGGTAGATACACAAAATACTCGATGTCTCACAATTCAAAGCAGTGTATGTGTTCAGTGTAGCAGCTTTGTTGAACCACCAGAGGGCATCAGTACTTTTCTGTGACAGCTCCAACTTGTCAGCTAAACACAGCCCCTGAGATTCACTTAAGCATTCATCATCAGCAAGGATAAAGTTACACCTAAAAACCAAAATCTGGACTTTGGTTTCTCAATCAGTAAGACAATAAATAAATCAAACAGGCAACATGTTTCATTTATCTTAAGCAAGAGTTCTGTGAATGCTCAAAAGAGATTTTAGTCCCCCGACTAAAATCAACACCCCCGAGTCATTCGAAGCACAGGCCGAGGGGGAGGTGTGGCAGCAATTTTTCACACCAGCCTATTAATCAACCAAAGACCCAGACAGACTTTTAATTCATTTGAAAGCCTGATGCTTATCCATATTCACCCTAGCTGGAAAAAACTTTTATTTGTTATCATCTAACATCCACCTGGGCCTTATACAGAGTTTCTACCACTTTATTAACAGTCTAAATATCTTGGTTCTTTTAAATTTTGAGACACGCCAGTTGAGTCTAATAACCGATTAAATGCAGTATTGAGGCTGTCATTTTTAGCATCTACATGGATGTTACACTCACCCACAATAATAGCTTTTTTTTCTTTATCAAACATAAAAGCTTCTTTAAACTAAAATGACGTCATTTTCTCTGATTATTTTGAGGATCTTTTACTTTTTGTTGTTTTTGCATCAAGAGAGCAGACTGTGTGAAGTGAACCTGCTCCCTGGCGGGTTCTCTTTCTGACTCCTCCTCTTCCTGCTCAGCCTACAGCAGCTGTCTGATTCGGTGGCTGTGTCCCCATCCAGCGACTGCAGGCTTTGGAGTACGCGCAGTTCGCGTACTACGTGCGGCGGTATTATATGTATTGTCAGATTATCATGATATATATATATATATTACAGGATATATTACAGCAGTGAGTTTGAACTCTGTGTCAAAGATTCAAGTTGCAGTTATTTATATTTCCCATCACCTTAAATCATCACTCAAAGACGAGTATCTGTGACAGTGTATATAGATGTATTATACATAAGAGACAAATATTGTTCTTTTAATATGTTGGTCTTATACATTTGGCTCAATGCTTACATATATGTGTAAAAAGCAAATGTACGAGCTGTGATAACTGTGTCTGATAGAATGAAGAGTAGACTGATATATGAAATATTCCTTTATTGGGTGAGAAAATCAGACCATGTCATAACTGCTGTAAGTCACACAGAATAGATATCAGAGCCTTAAACAGGCTGACTTCTGCTAAATGGGTCAAACTGGGCAGAAAGTCTACAAACACATAACATCCTTATAGAATATGATGTAACACTATAGATCAACTTACTCAGAATATATAAAGCATATAAACAGATTACAGCAATATGATGCAACAAACACAGCAGTCTACTGATCCAAAATACTCAAAGCTTCATAGAACTGAAACAAACATTTATTTTTAGCTCCATTCTGCTGCTGATACATACTTTAGGTTTCTGAATATTAAACTTGTTGCTGCCTTTCATAGTGTGTAACTTGAAGGCCCTGAGTACTTTCTCCCACACTGAGAAACACTGGAATGATCAAAATTATTTGAACATTACCTAATAAGACTGATTCAGGACAGACAGTTAATGAAATCTTTCCTAGCAGTCCTTCACAAACAGGAACGTGTCATCATCGAAAAAGAGGATTTAGTGTTTGTGTTATTAGAGTGCTAAACAAGAAGAGTTCCCAGATGGTGCAGTGGACACATGTGTGACTCCTGTGATTAAAGCATCTTTCTTTCAGCTTAACGAGTGAACCGTCAGCTCGTTCAAACACACGTTAAAGTCCGTTTGGCTCGACACCACCGAACAGAGGCAGCAATATAACATAGCTAACAGTCATGTTTTAATGTTCTTCATTATTAAATATTCGCACATAAATAAGTGACATAATGTTCAG